AAAAAAAAACCATTTTTCCATTTTTGATGTAAATATTTGATACTGAATATTTTTGATTATAAAATATCTGAAGAAAACAGAGAAATTTTTGGGTGGGGGCTACACCCCCCGAATTATCTCTGGGTGAGCGGTCGCCCCCACTACCCTCCCCCCCTGTTTCACGGCGCTTGATGAGATCTGAATAAGTGTATTACTCGTGAATTATATGTATAATACTGACAAACATACAATAAATTAGTTATAAAACGTTTCACGTAAGGAGACTCGCATTTTTTGTGAACTGTCGTTGCTGCGAATATCTGCGAGAAAGAATCGTCAAGCAGAGGATTTGAAATTCCGAAAATGTGTAGGTAAGTCTGAGGGGACAACACTGTGTAATAATTATTTGGAATTATCAATATGAAATCACCATGTATTATTTAAAAATTTACCGTTAAGAAGCGGAGATAATTACAGTCGTTATTAGTACTTTTAACACATGTTGCGTATACCATACTATGGTTGATATATTTTTAATTTTATTTTAAAAACTACATTTAAGATTTTAATAAAAAATAATATGAGTATGCAGAAAACAAACATACAAATATTACAAAAAGCAGCATATTTTTACTGTTTAATTTTAATAATATATTTGTAAGAGGTATATAATTTTTGATATATTTCAAGGTATAAAAAATTCGTATATGTAAATTACTGTATTTTAGTCTTACATGTGTAGGTACGTAGTATGGATAAACCCAACTAAAAGTCTACTCTAGCAAGCGTAAGAAACTTATTTATTAACGATTTTTAAATTATTATTAATCTTTTGATTGATCCTTTTTAGTAATAAATTGTTCGTATAAATCAAATAATGGATAATGATATATCTAAACTTTATTATTTGAGTTTTTTTTTATGAAAGACTTAACTTTTAGATTGTATTGTCACGAGACAACTACCTTAAATAATAGCTGAACAATTCGCAAATTTAGTTCAGAGAAATACTTTTATAATGTTTTTTTGACTGCAAATAACATATAAAACGAGCTTCTTAATTATTATTTTTTAAATAATTATCTATTTAGAATTAACTGTCTAATATGTAATTCTGTTTGAAATAAGTTATAATCCGACTCAAATTGGCAAAATGTTTTGCATCCAAATGGACAGTAGGAACAAGCATTTCTTATAATATATTTCACGAGATCCTTTATCTTCTTATCGTATGCTTTATTATATCCTTATTATATTTAATATTGTTTTTTTCATTATTAACCGACTTTCCACTTTGTTCTTCGGATTATTAAAAATAGTTTTTTTATTGTTAGTAAGCGTTGGCAAATAGCATCAACATTTTCATTATTTTACTAATGCATTTATACAATATATATGCTATTACAGATGTAGGGTGAAAAAACTACTTAGTTCTGGCTTACTGTTTAAATAAAAATTTATTTTTTTCTCCAAAAACACATCAAATGTACGATACAATTTTTAAGGTGTATAAACAATTAAGATAATTAATTACTGCTAGAGATTAAATAACAGATAAAGAATCTAATCCCTTACCCCACTATTTCCGCGGCAGCCAATATGCGAACCAATAATTCAGCTGGACTTGTTACGTTATTATCTTCTAATTTCCTATACACTCTTTTTTTTCCTTTCAAATATGCTTGCGATTCTTTTACACGGTTCACATAATTTTTCCATACTTCATCATTTACATGATAGTCTTCTCTTTTTACATCCATTATATCAGTATCGTTTTCCCTTTTTCGTATGTGGCTCGTAGGTTTTCTTTCTTTGTCGTTACATTTACCTTTAGTTGCATGTTCTGGTTCTTTCTTTGTTGCTCCCCGGAAGCCTAGAGTAAAACAAGTGCTGAATTATGTATTTATTGCTTATATAAATATGTAGATACTTTATTGGCAATGTTTATGCACTTTAAGAACCTACCTCTATAAAACGGTAAAAATGGATATACTTCTTTTGGTACTTCATCACGGTACCGCGAAGACGGATATTCAATTAGAAACAATAGATTTATCGGTGACCGAGATTTCCGTTGACTCATCAAATTGTCTGCGTTAATATGTTTAAATTAAGTTAAATTTATTTTTAAATAAATAACATATAAAAAATTTTTAATTTATTTATATTTAAAAACATAATGTGAAATTAATGAAACGTAGTGTGACCTTTGAAATATTATACAGAGGTTACTCCTCAGGTACTCCCTTTGCGAGAAAAATATTACACAGTTGTTACTATTATGTTTTGTAAGGATGCATTATAGTAGCACTTAATGTTTTCTTACGTTAACGATTTAGTTTGTACAATATAAGAGCTCATAGTTATTTAAAAAAGAACTCATAGTTAATTTAAAAAAATTAAGAGATGCTTATAGTTAAATGTGATACTTTAATTTAATAGTTTAATATAAACGAGACATTAAAATAAGAAAGCTGTCATTTAAAGGAAGAGCTCATCCAGAAGAACTAAACTAATTATTCGTGTTAATTTTATTAATTTATTCAGTACAAATTAATAAAGTTATAATAAAGTTAAAAACAAATAAATATCATTTGTCAATTGTAGATATATTAAAATTTTACATTTTCTTTTTTTGAAGATCCTCGGAACTTTAACTTAAAGATTTCATGTATATCTGCGTGTCTTTCATGCATATATTATGTAGTAGAAATATTATTCATTTTTAAATTTAAGAAAGGCACATCGGACTGACACACAAATAATTAAAGTATAATTAAAAATATTTTATATTTTATTGGCATTTTAAGAACCTACTTGTATTAATCGATGATAAAGCATTTAATTTTTGTGCATCACGGTTCGATAAGAATGAATATTCAAACGGCAAGCATGCCGATAAAGGTATCCGACTTATCCGTTGACTCACAGAATTGCCTGCGTTAATATATTTAAATTAAGTTAAATTTATTTTGAAATGAATAACATATAGAAAATATTTATTCTATTTATATTTAAAAAAATAATGTAAAATTAATAAAATGTAGTGTGACCTCTAAAATATTATACAGAGGTTACTCTTCAGGTACTCCCTTTGAAAAAAAATATTACTCAGTTGTTATTATTATGTTTTGTAAGGATTATAGTGCATTATAATAGCACTTAATGTTTTGTTAAATAAACGATTTAGTTTGTACAATATAAAAGCTCATAGTTAATTAAAAAAATAACTCATACTTAATTAAAATAAGAAGATGCTCATAGTTAATTAAATGTGGCAGTTTAATTTAATAGTTTAATATTAATGTAATATTAAAATAAGGAAGCTGTTATTTGAAGAAAGAGCTCAACTAATTATTTGTACTAAATTTATTAATTTACTCAGTATTAATTAATAAAGTTATATTAAAGTTGAAAATAAATAAATATCATTTGTCTATTGTAAATATACTAAAATTTTGAATTTTTTTTTTTTCAGATCGATGGAATTTTAATTTGCAGATTTCATGAATGCATATTTTGTATAGTAAAAATATTATTCACATTTTTAATACAAGAATGACACATCGGACTGACACATGCAAATAACTAGAAGTATTTTTTTATAATATCTCTCGAGAAACATTAGTCGTGAAGACATTACTATTTTAATTTATCAACGCGATCACATAAATTAAGGAAACAAATTAAATTTTTATGCGCAATTGATCATTTATCTATTGATCGCAATCTGTTCATCTAAGGTATATCAAAAATGCAAAGTTCTATGGAGTTATGAGTATATGATTCATAATATTCATTCATTTAAATAAACACATTATTTGACATAATAATATTTCTGCTCTGCCGTAACACCGTTTGAAGTCTCCTTTGATGTAACTTTTGTTGCATTAATTAATTATTATAATTAATAGCTATATAAATTTTTATTTCGGCAAATAATGTATAAATACCAACACAAACTATAAATTGCTTTAGTATATCGATGCGACAAGTGATATAATTATTATTGATTCAACGCATTCGTTTGATTTCTATTATTGTATAAAAAACTGATCATTAGCAATAACAGTAAAAGAAAAATAAATTTTGATTTATGTTAAGTTTACCTGTTACTTGTATGCATTGCCAAATGGTAATTGTCATGAGGAACAAAACCACTTCATGATTTCTTGAATGCATTGGGCGTTTTAAATGACGGACGAATCTTCATCTCTGCAAGGAAGTAGAGCCTTCGGTATCATAATTTTGACTTAAAATTGTAAGACCGTTCTTTGTTTGCAATTTAATTTAAACGACTCGACAGAATAAAATTTTATGTAAAAGAACAAACGGCTCGACTACTTTTTGAAAGAGGCCGTTACGTCCTCGGCTCAACCTTCCGTACCAACGGTAGAATAAACGATAATTACTCCCGACTCGAGATTATCGATCAGAAATGACGTGTTAAAAGCAATTAGTAGTAATACTATTTAAAAAAATATAACTTTGTTTAATTACGTCTCAGGTTTATACTTACAATTAATACAGAATTCGCTTAAGATATACCCTCGGCGACTCCCCCACGATTCGATACTGACTGTCTTTTTGGTTGCACGTCTATTCGGCTCCACAGCTCGTTAGACAGTGTCTATTCGGTTTGTTCGTTTGAGAAACGAGCTTTTGGCGAACGTTCTCGCATGTTCGAGAGATGTCTAAATATCCGGGTTGATTACGCGGGATCGCTCTCGCGCAGAATCGGTCTTAGTCGACTCTATCATATTTTCAGGCAGCCAGTAACTGGCGCCGTCTGTTGGTCGAAATCGGTAATATCTTACAAAATAAACTTCTTTACGGGATGTTTGACCTATATACGATTCTAAACCAAGAAATCATTAGACTGATAGCTTTATCTTTTCATTTGTGCTCTGCACATTCAAAGGACCACATTTATGTGCAGTGTAAAGCGCTCTGCGCTACACATGAACATGGCCTCACGATTGTGTGCGTGAAAACCTAGGACAAAAATTTGTAACGCTACTGAACTCCTGATTATAAACTTTCCAACCATATGGCAAACTTATTAAAACAACTTCGATATTTTTATTACTTAAAGAGAAAACTAAAATAATATTTTACGACTACGGAATTTTTAAAACGCTTAAAAGATTTTTGTTAAGATTGGCAAGATAAATGTACGATAATGTTCTATCTGCTGAGCCCTGAGAAAGCGTGTATTCATGAATTAAATGTAGAAATGAATTATATGAAAAGCCTACAATAAATTAATTACAAAACGTTTCACGTTAAGGAAACTCATATTTTTTGTGAACTCTTATTGCTGCGGTTAACGGCGACAAAGAATAGCCAAGCAGAAGGTCCGAAATTCCGCAAACGTTTAAGTATGGCTGTAAGGATAACTCTGTGTAATAATTATATAAAGTTACCAATATGCAATCGCGAGCTATGTATTAAACATATATACGCAGGCAAAGCAAAAAATAAAAATTTTTTAAGGTAGTTGTCTAAAGTGAATTTCCTAGAAATTGATCCAAATTTTCATTATATCAATTGAAGTAATATCTAATTAATTCTGCATTAAAAAAAAATTATCCGTTTAGAAGCGGAGATAATTACAGTTGTAATTAGTACTTTTAACACGCGTTGCATACACCATACTAAGGTTGAAGTCATATTTTTAATTTTATCTTCAAAATTTTATTTAAAACTTTAATAAAAAGTATTGAGCATGCGAAAAACAGATGTATGAACATTACAAAATACAGCATTATTCACCGTTTAGATTGAATAATATAATCGTAAGAAGTATATGATTTTTGATATTTTTTGATTATAAAAAACTCGAAGATGTCACGATATTTAAGTCTTACATGTGTAGGTGCGTAGTATTGACAAACTTAACCAAATGTCTACTCTAGCAAGCGTAAAAAATTAATTTATTAACTATTTTTAATGTATCATTAAACTTTTCATTGATCCTTTTAATAAATTGTTTTTATAATTAAATAATGGATAATGATATATTTAAACTTTATTATTTGAGTTTTTTTTTTAATGAAAGACTTAACTTTTAGATCGTATTGTCACGAGATAACTATCTTAAATAATAGCTGAACAATTCGCAAATTTAGTTCAAAAAAATAATTTCATAATTGAAAAAACATGTGCCTGTTTGAATCGGTAATATCTTACAAAATAAACTTCTTTACGGGATGTTCGACCTATATACGATTCTAAACTAATTAATTGTTCTCAGCGACATGTCTTAATGACACATGCATGAGGAAACAATATTCCATTACGCGTTCGTAAGATTATCAAATCGAAGCTGTCATTAATCTGAAAATTATGCTAATTGATATATTTATTTTAAAAGTAAATAAAATGTATTTATCATTTCTTAAAAGTAATATATTAAGCAATTAAAAAAAATTTTACATAAGTCTTTACAAACTATAAAAAAGAAATTTTTGCAATGTTTTATACAGCTACGATTTTGCTATATAATAAATTTTTTGGAAAAACTACATTTGTTTTTTTTTTATTCAAAAGATTAATTAATATTAAATTTTTATATTTAGTTATTAGTATATATACAGGATGTCCCGTAAAGACCGTAACAACGCTTAGGGGTATATTTCTGAGATAAATCTGTACAAAAAATCTTAATACCAAAATACTCAGGGTGTAATGGTTTTTGAATTAAAAGCATTTAAAGTTAGCGAATAAGATAGCCTGAAATTTGCGCGCTCAGGTGTGTACAACGTACAGTGATAAAAGCGAAATTGACTATCGCTTCCCTGTTGTCAGTATTAATATTTGAAAAATAAATTTGCTAATACATATTAACATAAATATTGTTTACGCAATTAAGATTTTGTTGAAAATATTATAAAGAAAAAAATTATATGATACATAAAACGCAAGCTGTCAAAAATTTCATTTCTTTGACATTTCTTTTTATCTTACAGATATTTGTACAGAATATTTAGATATGTTATTCATTATTTGTACAAAATGAAATAAAATCGTGTAATTACAAAATATGATTTTAATGTAACTTAACACAACTGTGGTTGTCTTTCTGATTTTGAATTGACCAGTGCTATAATTGATCTCACAAAACAATTCTTTACATAGCTTCTTAATGTCACAATGACGAATATGCTACAAAGACAATTAACTCTCACTAAATGAAAACTAGCACAACATATTAGACTCTGTATACTGAAGATGGTCGAAATTTCGATGGAAACGTTTATCATTATCATTACTGATTAAAGAAGAAAAATTTCTGGCAATTGAAATACTGCTTTGACCTTCGATCCTCCTTACTCCATAATTATTATATTTTTTTAATCTTCTAATTTCAATTATATTATATTTATAACATTTAAATTCATCAACCAATTAAAAGGTGACCAGCTGTCCATCAGCGTTCTCACATGCGCGAGAATTTAATACGTAGAGTTTGTTGTTATATATTTGACGCGAGTCTGGTATTAGCAGCCTACAATATGTCAGTGATCAGGTCCCGGTATATCGTCCTAGCAACTCTGATTCTAGGTTCTAGTGTAGCGTTCAGTGCGCATACCGATTGTACTACTGTAGTGTTCATATTCTCGTCCAATAACGTCCGATAACGTCCAATTAAAAAGACAAATATGTCTTCCCTGGACAATTTACCGGTCGAACTATTGGTAATAATTTTCGATTTATGTAATGTATATACTTTACTACAGCTCAGAAGTGTATGCAAAACATTTGATAGAATATCAAGCTACGTCTTAAACAAAAAAAGTAACCATTTGCTTGTTACGAATCAGATGTCAGAAAAATTTCGTAAACGGTAAGTTAAACATTGCTAAATTCTTATTTGTATTCCAATTTATTTTTGAATTTTCTTTGTAATCTGTCGAACAGATTTTTTATAATTCTTACTTTATATTATTGTTCCTGCTCTGTCTTAAAATCACATGTTCGTAGATGATTCTCAGTATTATATTTCTACCAGTAACGACTTTTGCCAGTATATGTATTTTTTATAATTTTTCTATTTGTCCCTATCGCCGTTTATTTACATCACATTTCCATTCTTTCATACACGCACATCAGCGCTAATGTGCCCTCTCAACATTTTCAATCAATAGCTATCTAAAATTTGCACATTATATTTGTCGACGTTCTGTGTACTTTTGCGCAAAATAAATCAATAAAATCACACTCTTAGTCCCCATCAAAGCAATTATTAATAGAAAAATATTGTCAGATAACAAAAATATTTTTTTTTCTAATAAAGTACAATATACGTTGATAAATTTTTTTCATACATTTTAACGTTAAGTCATAGCGTTTTGTTCTATTTTTAATTTTGCAAAATTTGATTTAATTTTTTAAGCATGTCTTTTTCAAATATATTTTAATATTTACATGTTATCAGTACGTAAAATATTCACGATTTTACATAAGGTCACCTTAAAGAACGTACATCTTGCTTTCTTTTACAGATGTAAATCTCTATTATCTTCGTATAATTCTAAATTCATTACGCATTACAACTGGAAATGTGGAATAGCTTGTAGAGAAACCATTTATGACATAGGTTCCAGAAAAACTACGAGAGACATGAGAATAAACAAAAAATGCCTAAAAATGACTAAAAATACAATTTTGTTTTATGACAATGATATTCTTTCAGTTTGTAATCGTGCAAAGAACGGTAACATTACGGAAAACATAATGCGTGGAACCTGCAGCTGTCAATTTTCAAGCTTTGCTTATTGCAATGATATAATCATAAGCGGCCACGTGTAAATATTTATTTATAAAATTGTTTCATGTTTATTTCTTTTTCTTTTCACAAAAATTCTTGCAGAGATGGTAGTATTAGGCATTGGAAAATTGAATCACGGAATAACATTAATAATCTTCAACAATTAAAAGCACATTCCAATGTATATGGTGAATACGTTTCGAACATAGAAGTAACAACGCAACATATTATATCATGTTCTTCAAATTTAATAAAGGTAAAATTAAAAAATTTGAAATTATGTTATGTTAATGTAGAATGTAAAATGTAAAAAGTCCGTTTTTGTTTAGATACAGAAAAATACATTTGAAGATGATGATTCTGCGGAAGAAAACGAACCAATTTATAAAGGCAAGAAATTGATTCAGTCAATTTCATTACACCCTACAGAAACAAAAGTTGCTACTAGTACCGAAGAATCGTTTCTAATTTATGATATTAATGCAAAGTAAGTTATGTTTCAATTAATTAATCGACATCTACAAATGTTTAATTAAATGTTGACTATGGTTATACAGACACTATTATATGAACCGATTTTGTAATTATAATTTGTAATTATTATTTAATGAGCTATATAACATCCTGGTGTGAACCTTAAAAGAGCGGAAGTGGCCCACTGCGGAAAAGAGAAAACTATATTAGACGAGAATTTCTGTCTGCTGTTTTTCTTAATTTTTAATATCGCCCACCATAACGGTAGTAAATGTGAAAGAAAAACAGATAATCTACTATTATATTCCTTTGGCCGCAAACTACATATTAATTCTTACAGAAAAGGCTCACTCCAGTATATTATATAGTTCAATGACAAGAGAGGAGTTTGGTCTTCTTTCTCTTGTCTTCTAGATTTTCACGTATATTCGGAATAATATGAAATAAACTAATGTGAAGGTATTTTAGTTGTCTGGTAATGGATGAACGTATAAATGATAGTACTTGTTCACAACTACTATGGGAAGATCCTCACACTATTCTCATGCTGTATGAACGTCAGATTCAAAAAATGGATATAAGGTAATGGATCTTATTGTTGACATTAATTGGCCATTCAATTTAATTATATTTGCTACTGTGATTTTAGAACACCAAAATTTGTACGTACATGGAATACTTCTGTCCTACATAATAATTCTAAATTATATAGTTTCTCTTCAGATTATTTGTATACTATTATGACAGGGACTGATATTGGTTCAGTACTTCTATGGGATCAAAGATTAAATGATTACATTCAGGTTTGTATAACTTTTAAATTTTATGTGTCTTGTAATGACCTTTATTAATACTCTATTGTTAACTGTCTTAAAAATTTTCAGACGTATCAAATATCTTTTATCCCTTCCAACCCTGTACTTTCTGTGCAATTTGATAGCTCCTATATATATACTATTACAGAACTACGAGATGTGATTCAACTTAATTTTAGGGATGTATTCACTTTTAAAAGCGCTCAAAGGAAAAAGTATTTTAGCAATTTTATTTAAATAAAAAAGTTGACTAACAATTTTTCTACTATTATACTTTGATTGTTTACATAAATTATATACTTAATGTCATGAAACAGAAAATAAATTATATATCTTTGTATGTAATATGTCTACTTCAAAAATCCATATTTCTTAAAATATAATATTAGCGTGTGCAAAATCTATTTGTCCGAAACAAAAGGAAGATTTTTAATCTTTTGCGCTGGCAATTAATTCAAAAACAAGCATGTCCAACCCGTCCAATAAACAACGTCTAAGTATTTATAAAGATAATTTTAAATAAAAGCAACAAAATTGTTTGTTTAAAAAAATTTTTATATAGACTACATGTTACGCTCGTTATTCTTACATTTGGAACAAATAACAAATGACGTGTTATGCGCGTTTTTTTCGTGCAAGAAATAGAAAACAATATTGGACCCGAGAAAAAAATGTTATAATTGGTCAGATATAAATATATGTAATTAGTTATGAAAAGATCTCATACCATATGCAATTTTATATAATCGTATAAAATATTACTTGTTATCAGATCTTTTCATAATTAATTATATATTTTTTTCGGGAAGTTATAGTCGTACGTACGGAAGTTAAAAAATTTAAAAATTATAAAAATTACGTATGTTGGCAGAAAAAATTTTTTAAAGAACAAATTGTTATAAAATAAAGACTGTACGTATAACAATAAAACATACTGTTAGAAATAATTAAAAAAAATTTTTAATTAGTTAGACCAAAACTGACTGGAATATGTTGCACATTAATTTCGTAAACTTTATTTTATGATAAACGCGATTAAAAGTTTAGGTCCGGTTATTAACAAATTTCTGGTAGACTTTAGATACAAACATCAATAAATATTAATAATTCTTGCATCAATATATGTATATCAGTAATTTGTTGATAATGATTACCTACAGCTTAAATTCTTATTATTAAGAAGTAATTTTACTCGTTATTCCAACCATCGAGTAAGGATTAGTGATATTTATTTTAGGTAACCGCGAAATAAAGTCTATTAAAAAATTGGTATAATCGGCCCTTAATCGAAAATTGTCAGACCGTACTTAACATCAAAAAGATGTGTAAGCATGTTAAATATTCTCCAAATATTTTTTAGAATTGTATCATTACTTTATAATTGTGTAAACATTGCTAAATAAATACAATTAAGTAATTATTTTATATATTTTAGTTTTACCTTAAAAGTTGTATTTTTTTATGAATTTTGTATTTTTTAACAAAATAAGTATAAATATATATACTTATTATAATAATACTAAATTATATTTTTTTAATTTTTTGACTTGAATTATATTATATTCATAACATTTAAATTCATCAACCAATTAAAAGGTGACTGCTGTCCATCAGCATTCTCACATGGGCGAGAATTTAATACGCAGAGTTTGTTTTTATATATTTTATCCAAGGCTGTTAGCAGTTTAGTATACATAATTGATGTCTGTGTTCAGGCCGGTGTACCGTTCTAGAAACTCTGGTTTTAGGATTTAGTATAGCGTTTAGTGTTGTGCATAGGCCAATTGTCATATTGTAGTGTTCATATTCTCATGTGATAACGTCCAAATAAAAAGACAAATATGTTTCTCCTAGGCATTTTACCGGATGAAGTATTGCTAATAATTTTCAATTTATGTGATGCATATACTTTATTACAGCTCAACAGTGTATGCAAGAAATTTTACGAAATATCAAAAAAGGTCTTATTGTTGGATAAAAAAAGTTACCACTTGCTTGTAGCGAATCAGATATGTATTATATATTTATATCAGATATAATTAATATATTTCATGATTAACGGATCAGAGCAAGATATATAGAATTATTCAGAAAGTTTGTACATTATTTTTGTAACAGAATTGACAACAATTTTTATATGTTTATATATCTTTATTTAGTAATGAATGCACAAGTTGTTAAAGATTGCCAAAAGTTGTCGAAAACAACGGTGCATATATTATTGAACAAAGATGACGCTAAACATATAAAAATTATTACAAACTTTTTAAATAAACCAATATATTTTTTTCTAAATAATGTATTTACGTCTGTTGATACATTTATTTATTTATTTTTTTTACACGAGCAAAAATATAGAAAAAGAGAAATATTTAAAAAAAAATAACTATAATTTTTTAATTTTATTATTGAAATAAACACTAGAAGTTTTAAAAATTTGTTATAAAATTTGAAAATGAAAATAGCGAAGAATCTCTGTAATAATGTAATAATTTTTGATAAATTTGCATTAAGTTTGTGTTTTATTTTCGTGATGCTAAACTTATGTTAATAAATCAAATATTAATTTATTGATGTTAAGATATATGCACATAAAATGCCAGTGATACTTTGTTAAATTTTACAAATATTAAGATGTAGTATTAGAAGATAATAAGTACTAAATTCCAGATTTTGGTTCACAATTTATAATGCATAATACAAAATGTTATGTAATCAAATAAACGGTAGGAACGGACATTCCTTATAACGTATTTGACGAGATCCTTTATCTTTTTATCATATGTTTTATTATATCCTTATTATAGTTAATATTGTTTCTTTTATTATTAATCGACTTTTCCACTCTGTTCTTAGGATTATTGAAGATTGTTTCCTTATTGTTAGTAGGCGTTGACAAATAGCATCCGCATTTTCATTATTTTACTAATGCATTTATATATGTGCTATTACAGATGTAAAGTAAGAAAACTAGTTAGTTTTGGCTTACTGTTAGAATAAAAATTTATTTCTTTCTCCAAAAACACATCAAATGTACGATACAATTTTTAAGGTATATAAACAATCGTGAAGATAATTAATTACTGCTAGAGATTAACGGATCTAAATTTTGGATTAAAAAACGCATAAAAAATCTTATCTGCAAATAATACCATTTATATATGGAAGGCAATACGATATCCCTTTTTCGTATGTGGCTCGTAGGTTTCTCTTCTTTGTCGTTACTTTTATTTTTAGTTGCATGTTCTGATTCCTTCTTTATTGCTCTCCGAAAGCCTAAAGTAAAACAAGTGCTGAATTATGTATTTATTGCTTAGATAAATAAGTGAATAATTTATTGGCAATGTTTATGCACTTTAAGAATCTACCTTTATAAAACGGATATACTTCCCGGATTGAAAGTGGATTCACTACTTCTGCATCACGGTACGGTGAGAACGGAGATTCAGTCGGAGACATTGGATTTATCGGTATCCGAGGTTTCCGTTGACTCACAGGATTGCCTGCGTTAATATATTTCAATTAAGTTAAATTTATTTTTATATGAATAACATCTAGAAAATTTTTATTTTATTTATATTTAAAAAAAGAATGTAAAACTAATAAAATAAAGTGTAACCTCTGAAATATCAGAGGTTACTCCTCAAGTACTTCCTTTGCAAGAGAAATATTACACAGTTGTCACTGTTATGTTTTGTAAGGATACATTATAATAGCATTTAATGTTTTGTTAAATTATCGATTTAGTAGGTTCAATATAAGAGCTCATAGGTATTTAAAAAAAACTCATAGTTAATTAAAAAAAGTAAAGAGATGTTTATTGTTAATTAAATGTGATAGTTTAGTTTAATAGTTTAATAATAACGGGACATTAAAATAAGAAAGCCGTCATTTGAAGAAAGAGCTCATCGAGAAAATCTCCACTAATTATTCGTAATAATTTTAATAATTTGTCCAGTACAAATTAATAAAGTTATACTAAAGTTAAAAACACATAAATATCATTTGTCAATTGTAAATATATTAAAATTTTACATTTTTTTTTTTTTGACGATCGTCGGAATTTCAATTTGGAAATTTCATGAATGCATATTTTGTATAGTAGAAATATTATTCACATTTTTAATACAAGAAAGACATATCGGACTGACACACGCAAATAATTAGAAATATTTTCTTATAATATCTCTCGAGAAACATTAGTCGTGAAGACATTACTATTTTAATTTATCAACCCGGTCATATAAATCAAGGAAACAAATTATATTTTTATGCGCAATTGATTATTTATCTATTGATCGCAATCTGTTCATTTACGGTATGTCAAAATTGCATAGTGTTCTATGCAGTTATCAGTATGATTCACAATATTCATTCATTTAAATAAACACATTATTTGACATAATAATATTTCTGCTCTGCCGTAACACCGCTCGAAGTCTCCTTTAATGTAATTTCTTTGCATTAATTAATAGCTATATAAATTTTTATTTCGGCAAATAATGTATAAATACCAACACAAACTATAAATTGCTTTAGTATATCGATGCGACAAGTGATATAATTATTATTGATTTAACACATTCGTTTTATTTCTATTATTGTATAAAAAACTGATCAGTAACAATGATAGTAAAAGGAAAATAAATTATGATATATGTTAACTTTACCCGTTACTTGTATGCATTGCCAAATGGCAATTGTCATCAGCATCAAAAACCACTTCATGATTTCTTGAATGCACTGGGCGTTTTGGATGACGGTTTTTCTACTCTGCAAGCAAGTAGATCCTTTGGCATCAAAATCCTGACTTAAACTGAATTTCTTTACGAAATGTTCGACTTATATACGTTTCTAAACAATGAAATTGTTAGACTGATAGATTTATTTATCTTTTTACTTGTGCTCTACCTGCATCAGTCTGTATTTCAGCGTTATCAATTCTTGTTCTGGGTTTCTACGGAGCCATCAAACGATCATGTTCATGTGCTGCGTAAAGCGTTCTGCGCAGCACATGAACATGGTCTCTTGATTGTGTACGTGGAAACCTAGGACATTTGTAACGCTGCTGTACTGATTATAAACATTCCAACCATGGCAAACCTATTAACAACTTCGATATTTTTATCACTTAGAAAGAAAACTAAAATGATATTTTACGACTATGGAATTTTTGAAACGCTTGAATAGTTTTTGTAAAGATTGGCAAGATAAATGTACGATCATGTTCTATCTGCTGAGCTCTGAGATAGCGTGTACTCATGAATTATATGTAGAAATGAATTATATGAGAAGCAATACAATAAGTACAATAAATTAATCACGAAACGTAAGAAAACTCGTATTTTTTGTGAATTTTCGTTGCTGCGGTTATTGGCGACAAAGAATAGCCAAGCAGAAGGTCCGAAATTCCGTAAACGTTTAGGTATAAACGTTTAGGTATAAGCTGTAAGGATAACTGTGTAATAATTATTTGGAATTACCAATATGCAATCGCGAGCTATGTATTAAACATATAAACGCAGGCAAAGCAAGAAATAGAAATTGTTTAAAATAGTTGTCTAAAGTGAATTTCCTAAAACTTGATCCAAATTTTTATTATATCTATTGAAGTAATATCTAAGTAATCCTGCATTTAAAAAAATTAACCGTTTAGAAACGGAGAAAATTACAGTTGTAATTAGTACTTTTAACATGTGTTGCATACACCATACTAAGGTTGACGTCATATTTTTAATTTTATCTTCAAAATTTCATTTAAGACTTTAATAAAAAGTAATGAGCATGCGGAAAACATATATATGAACATTACAAAATACAGCATTATTCACCGTTTAGATTGAATAATATAATCGTAAGAAGTATATGATTTTTGATATTTTTTTATTATAAAAAGCTCGAAGATGTCACGATATTCAAGTCTTACATGTGTAGGTGCGTAGTATTGACAAACAAAACAACCAAATGTCTACTCTAGCAAGCGTAAAAAATTAATTTATTAACTATTTCTAATGTATTATTAAACTTTTGATTGATTTTTTTAATAAATTGTTCTTATAATTAAATAATGGATAATGATATATTTAAACTTTATTATTTGAGTTTTTTTTTTAATGAAAGACTTAACTTTTAGATCGTATTGTCACGAGACAACTATCTTAAATAATAGCTGTACAATTCGCAAATTTAGTTCAAAGGAATAATTTCATAATTGGAAAAACATGTGCCTGTTTGAATCGGTAATATCTTACAAAATAAACTTCTTTTCGGGATGTTCGACCTATATACGATTCAAAACTAATTAATTGTTCTTAGCGACATGTCTTAATGACACATTCATGAGGAAACAATATTTCATTACGCGTTCGTAAGTTTAACAAATCGAAGCTGTCACTAATCTGAAAATTATTCTAATTGAAATATTTATTTTAAAAATAAATAAAATGTATTTATCATTTTTTAAATGTAATATATTAAGCAATTGAAAAAAATTTTACATAAGTTATTACAAACTATAGAAAAGAAATTTTTGCAATGCTTTATACAGCTACGTTTCTGCTATATAATAAATTTCTTAGAAAAACTACATTTGTTTTTTTATTGAAAAGATTAATTAATATTAAACTTTTATAATTAGTTATTAGTATATATATATATGTTCATTATGATACTATATTAGCTAGTATATTGGCGTATGTGCATTATTATTATTTAAACTTGCATACCATCCATTGATATTGTTAAACAAATAGTATTTTATCGTTGATAAAATAGATTCACGTGAATTATGTTGTCGGTAATTTCAAAAATGTCGCGATAAACACAAGATCGAATCTTGATCTTGATCCTGCAAAGATAATTGAACTGCTAAGTCATTTGAACCTATGGATCTGAGCTCACACACATATTTGTACACATTGTACACACATAATACATATTACAAGAAAAACAGTTTAAAAGTGCAAACAAAGAAGCAAAAAATTTTACAAGAGAGAAACCCGATTGACAAGACGGTCTCGATCACAGTATCATCTTTTTTTACTAATAAATTTAAAAAATCTTAAGATACCTCTGCAATGTCTTCGCCTACTTTATGCGGAAATGAAGTCAAGTGATGTGATATATACATAAATAAAAATTTATGACAATTGCCATTATAATTAATACTCGTAAAAGTAAACCTGATATCAAGAATTATTAATTTAATTAATAAAAATTAGAATTTTTATATAAAATCTTTATTGGTTCTACCATATCTGTGATAAATATTTTATAAAAATAAAAATATGTTATATAAATAACTTTTATCTTTTAAGTAAAATAAAAGGAAAGTTTTAGTCTCTCAATCTCCGTTTTTTATATCCGGTGATAATATTTTTCAATATAAATCACATAAATATGATTTTTCAAAAGGAGAATCTAAACAGATTTTTAATTTTTGATTTGCTCTCAGTATAATGCTTAAATGTTTTGCAGATTTTTGGATTTACAGATATAATATCAAACTTTGATTCAGATGTTTCAGAAAATAAAATTGTGTAATTACAAAATATGATTTTAATGTAACTTAACACAACTGTGGTTGTCTTTCTGATTTTGAATTGACCAGTGCTATGATTGATCTCACAAAACAATTCTTTACACAGCTTCCTAATGTCACAATGACGAATATGCTACAAAGACAATTAACTCTCACTAAATGAAAACTAGCACAACATATTAGACTCTGTATACTGAAAATGTCGAAATTTCGATGGAAACGTTTATCATTATCATTACTGATTAAAGAAGAAAAATATCTGGCAATTGAGATCCTGCTTTGACCTTCGATCCTCTTTACTCCATAATTATTATATTTTTTTAATCTTCTAATTTGAATTATATTATATTTATAACATTTAAATTCATCAACCAATTAAAAGGTGACCAGCTGTCCATCAGCGTTCTCACATGCGCGAGAATTTAATACGCAGAGTTTGTTGTTATATATTTGACGCGAATCTGGTATTAGCGGCCTTCAATATGTCAGTGATCAGGCTCTGGTGTATCGTTCTAGCAACTCTGATTCTAGGTTCTAGTGTAGCGTTCAGTGCGCATACCGATTGTAATACTGTAGTGTTCATATTCTCGTGTGATAACGGCTAATTAAAAAGACAAATATGTCTTCCCTAGACATTTTACCGAACGAACTATTGTTAATAATTTTCGATTTATTTAATGTATATACTTTACTACAGCTCAGAAGTGTATGCAAAAAATTTAATAGAATATCAAGCGACGTCTTAAATAATAAAAGTAACCGTTTGCTTGTTACGAATCAGATGTCAGAAAAATTTCGTGAACGGTAAGTTAAACATTGCTAAATTCTTATTTGTATTTCAATTTATTTTTGAATTTTTTTGTAATTTGTCAAACAGATATTTTATAATTTTTACTTTATATTATTGTTCCTGCTTTGTCTTAAAATCACATGTTTGTAGATGATTCTCAGTATTATATTTCGACCAGTAACGACTTTTGCCAGTATATGTATTTTTTTAAATTTTTCTATCTGTTTCTACCGCGGTTTATTTACATCACATCTCCATTCTTTCATACACGCACATCAGCGCTAAAGTGCCCTTTCTTTCATTTCTCAATCAATAGCTATCAGAAATTTACACATTATATTTGTCGACGTTCTCTGTACTTTTGCGTAAAATAAATCGATAAAATCACACTCTTAGTCCTCATCAAAGCAATTATTAATAGAAAAATATTGTCAGATATCAAAAATATTTTTTTTATAAAAAGAATTTTTTAATTAGGTTCAGTTTTTCAATTAAAACTTTAAAATGGTGATGCACGCTT